GGCAAGGGTGGGAGCCGGCTTTCCTCCCTCCTGCCCAATGCACTGGTGAATGCAGAACTCTTGTGTTTTTTATTATTATTATTAATAATAATAATTGCTAGTAATATATACCCAGCTTATTTAAAGTGTTCATTAAAAACTGAATGTCCTAGTGACTCGGAATGCTGCTTCTGTCTCTCAGCACATCGGATGTGGAGGGGAGCCCAGCCCCAAAAGGTTGCATGGGCTTGCCTGGGGCTTCTGGGGAGCCCCTTGGGGACCACAAGCCGGCCTGGCTGAGCCCAAGATTTTAGTGCCCCCAAAGTGGCCATCTTGGTTGAAGTGGTTTCCATTAAATTCCCACCTATTATTTAGATTGTTTGGGTTTGTGCCCTGGAGTTCATGTTTGTGGTGGTACACAAGAAAGCAAAGAGCAGACAAGCTGTGTCTCTTTATTGCTACAAACTGGGTTCAGCCAGGGGACAAGACAGAGGAGTGACACGTGCCACCTCCAAAAAGCCTGCTTTTAACACTCTTCTGCTCTTCAAGCAAGCTAATTCTCATAGCAATTGATCAACTATATATGGCACACACAACCCCGTAGTAAAATGAGAGCATCTTCGCCTGGTTGAACATGACTTCTTCTGCTCTTGCCTGGTTGCAATGTTACATCAGGGCTATTTTGTTTAATCTTTCTGTATGCACGTGTGTAGTAACTATATAAAGGTCCTGATGGCTTGTCTCACAAAGACTCGGTCTGCTGCAAGTGCCAGAGTTGCTTTTGCTTTTGAAAGGCACCATCACATTGTACAATCCTAAAGGTCATTACTCTGCTGCTTCCTAATTAGCAAAAAATGCCAACCACCAGCATAAGCACCAGACAGTTCACGTGCAGCTTCCCTTCTTGGTCACGCTTGCTGGGTTGCCTGAAAGCTGTGGCCAAGCTGCTCCTGGGATGGGGCCAGGCAGAAAGTCACTGCTGTGGGGAGGGGACCGGGCCAGGTGTGGAGCTGTGCCATCCCTCGCTTCCATGTCCTTGCATGCCAGCACTGCAGCTTGGTCCAGCGTGGGACTGTGGCTGTGGGACTCATACTGTTCTGCTGAAGCACATCATCTGGGAGGAAGCAGTTGCCACCACTGCCTCCCCCAGCCTGTGTGATGCCCGAGCATCACTGAGCATTGCTGGGCAGGACTTGGGCAGCCCGTGGGCAGGGGTCTCTGAGAGAGAAGTGGGTTGCTCGCATGGACATTCTGGGCAGGGTTGCAGCAGGGCTGAAGCGGAGGCGGTGCGGGGTGCACATGCTGCAGGGGAAGGCAGAGGGTGAGGGTGATGTGCTGCCCAGTCTCGACCACACATAACGGGGCTGGGAAGGCAGCTTGCAAAGGGGTTTCCCCCATCTCACCCCTTTGCAGTGCCACAACCCGTGGGGGTTTGTTGAGCTGCTGCGGACTGGGGCCTTCCGTGGCAGCAAAGGGATGGAGGCAGGGTCCATCCAGCACAGGGATGACTCCCTTTCCAAGGGAGGGAGTCAACGCACCCCATGCAGAGGCCAAGTCTCCCCGCTTTCCTCCATGCACACCCCATGGGCCCTGTGCACCCCAGGGCTCAGCAGAGCCTGGCACGGTCACACTTACCTCAGCAGTGCTGGGGCCAGCGGCCATCATCCCATGAAAGGGGAGCTCGGCCCTGCCGCCTTCTCACAGATCCAGAGGTGCAGGTCGTCAGGACCACCGCACTGGGCAGGTTTGATGTTCCCACGGCTTATTATGGCACAGGACCCATTTGACTTCCACTGCCATGGCCTGGATGGGGGAACGACACATCAGGGGGCTGCCTTTGCCCTGCCCACCACCCCCTGCCAAGGCAGCCGGGGGCTGCCTGCTCGCTTGAGAGGGGTTGAATGCTGCACTCAACCTCCCTTGCACATTTCACAGGATGAAGCCTCAGCTGACGCATCCCTGCCTTTCCTTGGGAAGGCTGAGAACCCCCGCTGCCAAAGATTTCTATCACTTGTGACTCCCCTTAAACCCTCTGCACAAGGTTTCATTCCATGCGACTTCCCTTAGCCTCCCCAGCTACTTGAATCTCCATCTCTCTGCCCAGGGGTATTTCATCCCTGCAGCACCTGGCAGTGGGGAGACCCTGCTCCTCCATGAGGATGGCCAGAGGATCTGCCCTGCACCATGGGGCTATGGTGGGGTGCAGCCCCCCACGGCGGGGCTGAGGATGGAGGGGCGGGCAACGGGCAGGAGCTGGGTACCCACCACCAGGCCAGACGGATTTGTTCCTCCCCACTGCTCTCAGACACCGCTAGAGGAAGTGATGGTGAGCTGGGGACACGAGTGCACGTGGTGGGGAGGAGCCCAGGACCCTCTGCAGGCGGGAAGGCTTGGTTTCCCCCAGAGGAGGGACTGGAGAGGCACGTGGGTGATAGAGGTGATGCTCAAACACTTTGTCTACACCCCAAATAAAACCTGTGGTTTCTTTTGTCCCCTCTCACTGCCTCCTGTTCGTGCAAACCCTGCACATGCCCCTCCAAGTCCTGGCTTTCCATTTGCTCAGCCTCTAAGCATCTCATCACACTGCTGCACACACCTCCCCTTGGCCTCAGCTGCTTTGATGCTCCTTGTTGCCCAGTGCTTGTGCCCGGGACTGAGTACTGGTGGGATTTAAAATGCTTCCTAAAGCCATGCTGGAGGAGAGGGGTTTCAGCAAGAGGCTGTGCTGCCGGGTACCTTTCATAAAGGGAGCCATCCACCCAAAACCAGGCATCTGAGACCCCCTCGCCTTCTGGGTCATCTTCCTCCAGCCAGCCATATTCATACCAGGGGAAGCTGCTCTTCTGCAGCCCAATCCAGTATGGGATGTCTGCATTCTTCAGGAAGGCCTGGGGAAGGGGAAAAAGGGCATTTTAGTGGCTTTTCCATGGTACCTACATGCTGCTGTGTTTGCAGGGGGTGGCTAACCCCCTGCCACTGGGGCTGGAGGTCCTGGGGGCAGGACAGCTGAGCAGCCCCAGGGTCCTGCTCCAGCCTGATCAGCATCCAGGGGTGCCAGAGCCTCTCTGCCCCATGTCCACCACCCACCGTGTGCTATAAAGATCAGCCTTGCACCTTCTGTAAGTTTTGGCAAAGTAGAGGCTCCCAGAGTAGCACTGGCCCACCTGGGGACCCCAGGGCTGGATGCACCAGCTCCTGCCCTCAGCTCCCCCAGCACCCTACCGGCACAGTCCAGCGACTCCAGGATTTGGTAACCAGGAGCTGAGAATATTTCTTCTCACACTCATCTCTGCTGTCCTCCCATGTCTTCTTCTCCGATGAGATGAAGAGGCACTTGCCCCTGTACAGCAGCCAGCCTGAGGGGCAGCAATCTGGGGGCAGGGGCACAGCTCAGGAACTCACCCAGCCTTGGATGCCTTGGGGTGGTCCAGCCTGGACTGGGAACAGCCCCCATATCTTCCCAACAGGTATCGCAGGCTCAGCCTCTTCTCAAGGCATAGCTTCAGTCTTTGGACCACCCCATCCCCACCACATGGCCAAAAAGCCAGTGCCTGTGCCTCGGCACTGCATCTGCTGGGGGGTGCCAGTCCCCTGGGACACCCCCATCCCCGCTCCACCATCACCCTACCTATAGCCGTGCAGGAGCGCAGGATGGCCACGGTGCTCTCACTGTTGTTGAGCTTCCCCTGCACCTCCTGCATCTCCTTCTCCGTCTTCCCCAGGACCCCCATGACACGCCCCAGCTCGGTGTTCAGGGTCTCCAGCTCCAGCTG